TGAAGGGACTGTGGCTGTGGGTAAGGCCATGCTGGAGCAGGTATATCTCTGAAGGCATTGTGGCCCATGGATAAAGCCACACTGGAACAGGTGCACCTCAAAGCAACTGTGGATGTGGATAAGTCCATGCCACAGCAGGTATATCCCTGGAGAGACTGTGGCTCATAGATAAGGCTCCACTGGGAGCAGGTACACCCCTAAGGGACTGCAGTCTGTGGATAAGTCCAAGCCAGAGGAGTTCATTACAATGTTAAACCCTATGGTCTGGTCCAAAGGGACCACGGGTGGAGACTGTAATGGAAATACCTTTAAATTGTTGTAACCCAGGATTTGAGTTGCATGTTATGGGAATTACTATAGCAAGAACCCCTTGTTACTAGCCAGGCTAGGAGCACGGGGAGGAGTTCACTGCAATGTTAAACCCTATGGTCTGGCTCAAAGGGACCAGGAGTGGAGTATTATCCAAACACCAGCAGACAAAAGTTTCAGAACTCATTTATACATGCAAAAATATATTCACATAATACATTCATGTAAGTACATATTATGAACCAGATTTAAAAACAAAGATGTTAATGGTCAAAATTTTAAGATATTTACCTCAAAGATCTTACTCACTTGTCCAACTTCTTTTACTATAGCATTTTCCACGAGTTAATAGTATCAGTTAGCTTTTAGTTAACAGTTTTACTCTTCAATGCCCTTATCCTGAGCTTCCAGGCACGACTTAAGTTAACACCTGGAGTTTCCACTCCATGCTGCCTAACTTCTTGATTCATAAACGGCTTTAGCCTGAAGCAAGACAACTTCCACCTGACCCTGGGGGGGAAGGGCCCCTTAAATTAGGTCCGGTTAAAGATGACGTTTTTCTCATAAACACATTGAGCAAACTGGTTGATTCAGGTTTCTAGCCAAGGAGAAACACCACAGGTAGTAGAGACTACAAGTCTATTACTGTAAATATCAACCACCAATGACACATCTATTGTATAATGAAATAACATCAAGTGACTTGCATTTGAAACAATTGTTTATACGATAGCAACAAACCTTGTTGTTGAATGATTCTCAATCAGGTACCAAGCAGCAGAAAAGTTTTCACTAGTGAAATCAGCACTCATCCCAGGAAACAGTGCCTCTAAATCTTTTTGAGGAAATCTGCCTCTGAAAAATGAATATTCATTTCTTCAGTGAGACATATTCTGGTGAACAGCTTACAATTAAAAATGTCACATAAAAAAATCCAAACCCAGAAAACAAACCATGTTCCAACAAGATGTAAATACAAACTTGTATCTCACCATGAAGTTAAATCTGGTATTACAGACTCATGTAGCATGACTGGGAAAGAAAAGATTGAAATCTAATCTAAGTAAAATTAATTTTACCATTTTGATTTCACCATTACACATATGACAGAAATGTTGCCTGTACAAAATGCTTCTAAAGAAAGAGAACTGCTGCCTTCAGAAAATGGGACTTGACAGACTCGCCGTGATACTAACATTCAAATGCAGGACCACTAATGCTGAATGTACTCAAAGTCAACTCTACCTTTTAAACAGGAAAATCAGTACACCAAGCCAAGTAAATAAGAGAGAATATTCTCTGTAAGCCATGAACCAGTATCTATCGAACTTTAAAACGACAGGACATCACCAGGTTGACAGCTTGTAAGTGATCTCGCACCATCATCGTCTATTGGTTCATGTGGAGCAGAAGTCCCACGGAAACATGAAGGAAGATACACAGAGCATACTTCCATTATATACAAACACTGAAAGAAATCCTGAGTTAAAATCATCCTCTTTCAAAACAGAATACACTGGTCTGCCTGTTCATAGTACACAAAACAAAGGAAAAGTGGGCATGTATTGAGTGAGAAACAGCATGCTTGCTTTGTTTTTATTCAGTCTTATCACGCATAAAGATAGCATGCAAGCCAATTCCTTGTGAAAGCAGTTTCTCTTTAACAGTATTTTTGAAACTACAAGTAGGTTCTAAAATGCTCATACAGAAAATGTATTACATTTATTTTAAGTCAGTGTAATAAAAATATTTAAAGCACTTTTTGATGAAAACATGACAATCTTCATCCCTCAGTCCAGACACACACTTAACACTTGGCCATATTCATTCCACCACGTGCTCTCAGTACATCACTGGGTGCACTCACCACTCTATTCTTTACCACCAGCTGCACCCCATCTTCAGAAATTAATCGTGGCAACCAAGTTTACTTTTGGTCAGCCCTGAATTGGTCAGGCAGTTGGACTAGATGATCATTGTAGTCCCTTCCAACTGAAATATTCTATTCTGTTCTAAAAATTTACTATGTCATTTTTGGATCACAATGTCAAACTGAAAAGTCAGTAAAATCCCTCTCTGATGCTCACAAGCTAGGTGAATTCTGTTATACAAAGTACACTGTACACAAATGCAAACCTGTCATACTTTGCATTTGAGACCAAACTTGGGTGGGGGTAGCAATCCAGAGAGTCAGCTATTAGAATTACATTTAATACGTATGAAAAGCCATTTGAATGGAAACAAAAGCAATGATTTGTTAGTTTTTGTTTTTCTGTAATCTAAACATATTTCAAGATAGCTAAAGCTGTTTCTATTGCAAAAAGCAAACAGCAGATTAAGTGAAGTAAATCTAAAGGCAGGCGCATTAAAAAGTACAATTATATAAAAACAAGAGTTGTTTTCTGTAAGTTTCTATTCATATCCAAATGGCCATTAGCACAAGCAGGTACAAAGGACCTACATACATAATGACATGGCACAGAAGTCTTTCATCAGTAGCACCTGATTACAGCAGGGGCATGAAACAATAATTTTTTTAAAAAAGCAAAAAAAAAAATCAAATGAGATGCAAGGAAAAGCGATGACAGATATAAAAAGTAGAGAGACAGGGAAAATAGTGTGAGAAGCAAATGTAGCAACTAAAAATGAAGGTTCCAACATTTCTCTGTGTTCAATGAAAAAGTGATAATGTTAAATGTTAAATTTACGAACATAAGTAGTGAGATTCAGGATTACCATTGACCTTGAATTACATGAATGCCAGTTAGTTAGCAGAAAATGCTGATGGATGTAAGAAGGAGAAGAAAGTTTCAATTTATCCTTCCTTTAAAGACACTTTAAGATATCTTATTTTTCATTCAAAGTAGTCAAAAGTGTCCAGTAGGCACACGAATTTGCAGGACAGTACTTCACATGCGATACGTGGCATGGCTGTCCAAAAAAGCTTTTATATTAAATCCACACATGGTGGCATCTTTGTGGTCAACTGCATTTTTTAATGCTAAGAAACAAAACAATAAAAAACTTTCAGTTACCTCAAAAGAGACTCAGAACTTCAATGCAAGCACTATATAAGTGCATGCACACAATACAGAAGCAGAATTTTGCTTATATTTTTCAGAACTTCAATGTATTTTCTCAGAAGCCAGAAGAAACAGATATAACACAAAAAGCACACACACTCAACAAATACACCATTACCAAATGCTACTTATTATTGCAAGATTGTAAGACACATGCATGACAGTTTAAGCTTATGCATGAGCTATACAATTCCTAGGGAAAAAAACCAAACGTATTTTTAATATATATTGAGATAAAGACCAATAATTTAGCTAGGGATGTAATGAATTCCCGCAAGTGAATTTTGCCCACAGACAGTGGGACAGAAATGAAGGGGCTTTTTTCAGTTTGATGTTTGACTGCATTGAAAAGTTATTAGGAGCTTTTTTCCAGCAGATGTATTTGTGCAGAACCATAAATTAGCAATGCGTTTATTTTTTTATATATATTGAGATAAAGACCAATAATTTAGCTAGGGATGTAATGAATTCCCGCAAGTGAATTTTGCCCACAGACAGTGGGACAGAAATGAAGGGGCTTTTTTCAGTTTGATGTTTGACTGCATTGAAAAGTTATTAGGAGCTTTTTTCCAGCAGATGTATTTGTGCAGAACCATAAATTAGCAATGCGTTTATGGGTGCTTTTATCTGTGCAGACATATTTTAGACATAGTCACAACAGAGTAGAAACATGAATGTGAATGTGTGCAGTGTGTTAACAATATGTTATACTCTACGGTGTAGTATCCGTATTTTTATCATAAATTTTACCAGTAGTTTTTCCACTAACAGATATGGGGAGCTTGGAATGACTTGCTACAGCTGTCTTCACAACAAGCTGCTCACTAAGAAGTTCAAACTGAAAGCAACTGTATTTCTAAAATGTCTGGCTAGATGCATTTAAAAAAAGACTGGCTCCACATACACACAAGTTTGTTTCATTAACTTCCATTAGTACATTAAGTAAGTCCTTAGAAGTTGTTCTCATGAAAACTTGCTTACCGTTTACTTATAAACAAGCACATATGTGACTTGAGAATGTATTTCTGTTTTATTCATCTCAACATTATGGGGTGAATATGAACTAGCAGCAAAAGCTGAGACCATGCTGACACACAATGAAATTGTTGATCATTTTTCTGTTGATTTGCTTGTTTTATAAGAATCACTTCAGGAAGCAACTCTGAATACTTAATCATTGATTAAAAAGCAATCACTGTAAAAGAAACTGGGAACCACAAATTGAATCCAGAAAACCTCAGAAAAAGAAGAGAGAAGTTTACCATCCTTGACAACTCTACGTATTTTGCTACCTTTACAATTTCAGCAAAGGTACACATATTGGATTTATATAGTAGTACTTTCTGCTAGGCAGACTATTTTATTTAAAATGGAACCAGATCTGGTACTAGACCTCTAGTTAACATTTTAAAGTAGTCTTACTCATCCATCAGCAACAATTTTAAATATAAAAGTAATTAAGATTTCACATACTGTTTATTTTCATGAGAACTACAATAAAAATAAATTTGGTTTCAAGCCGCTATACTCTCTCACTTCCCTCATATTTTGAATATACCTATACAGTCATGCAGTATTAGATGTAGTGGTCCTGGCTTCCACGTGAAGGGCATGCACATCCACTTTGGATTCAAAACACATAGGGTACAATCAATTCACTTGCACAGCATGTGCCCATCAATACAAGTCCCTCCCTCCACTACCCCAAAGTTTAGGTTCTGTATAGCCTGATACTCAATAAATCTAATTTAACATCACAGCATATATCAGCTCTTACAAATTCTACTACAGAACTCGTGCACATACACAGTATTTATATTCTCTGGAGGTTTAAGATTAGCTGTAATCTCCATGGGTAAATCCCAGCCTCCAAGCAGTCACAACTGAGTAATAGCAACAGAATGCAATGGATACGAATGAACAGAGCTTGACTATGAATGCAGCTTAGCAAGTTGTAATTTTTCTGTAAAGATTATTTTGCTCCCAGAGTTTCAGAATGTCATAGTATGCTTTTCAGCATACATGACAATATTTGCAGATTAAAGGCAGGTCCCAAAACAGGATACAGCCACCAAAAGGTAACTTGAACCTCAATTACACAGGAGTTTATAGGTCAAAAGGAGCAACTTTAAATAAACACAGATTCTGACTAGCAACCAGCATAAACAAGCTCCAGCTAGAGCTGCTGTACACACACCCCCCCCCCATCTGGTACCAGTCAGACTCCTAGAAGCAGGCTTTGTACCAGCTATACTGTGTTAATCATGCATGAAGACCAGCATAAGGGACACTGAAGTAGACTAAACACGACAAATCAGAAGGTGTTAACAAAGGTCTCTCCAACAACCAAAAGACAAGGATGCACTCTGGCAATTACTCCCTAGTACCATTGGGTTTATCAGAAATGTGAGAGCAAAATGACAACCATATTCAAAAAATGGCAAAATCTGGTAAGAGAAATCTACTAAGGGATTATAGGCTGGTAGCTGCAACTGATGCATCAGCCTTACAAGCAGTAAATGTTACTGTATTTTTTAACATCCTAAAACTAGGTCTATATACTACATCTCTCTCCCGCATGTTTCGCAATTTTTCCACCTGCACCTCTGTGATTAAAGTTTCCACAAGTCCATCACATTCAAGGATGAAACTGACTGCATTTCCATACAAGCCATTTAAAAATAAATAAACATCAAAGCCTCCACAAAGTCTTTTCCTATCTCATGGTAGCAAGCTGATGTTTACCATTAGGTGGCAGCGTAACATCATCTG